CGCCCAGCTTTTCGCGTTGCCGCTCCTCGTCGGTCGCCGGAGGGACCCGTTTCCGGAGGGCTGCCACCTTCCCTCCCCGGAATCGAGTGCAATTCCCATCTCTTGTTTGATCCGTGCTCGCGCGAATTATTTATTTCACGGGAGCACGTGACATCTTATAAAGATAAGGTCTAAAAAAGCAAGGTCCTTAGAAGGTACTAGTAATGTAAATCTGAAAACAATTTGTACTTTGAAATATCGGGATAATGTAAGAAGGTCCTAATGTATTCCTCATTATTTTAACCCTACAAAGGTCATCCAGACTCAAACCTGATAAGGATTTTCTTAGGTGTACTTTATTCAGGATTACCTTACATCAACCAAATCAGGTCCTTATAACATATTAGGTCAACCTGACAACAAATTCTAGTCGGGATATGGAATGTAACAAATTGTTCACAAGGCCCTTATAAGGAAAGTTTTTCAGGTCCTTGTAAGGAAAATTTTTCAGGTCTTTATAAGGAAAGTATTTCAGGTCCTTATAAGGAAAGTTTTTCAGGCCTTGATTAAAAGACCTTATTTAAACCAGAATTACGCAATTGATACTTTTAAAGGAAATTTTAATAAATCCTTATTAAAGTTTTAATAAATATAATGTAAGAGAGCGGCTGGCGAAGCCGACTCTTACCATTTAGTTTACAATTTTGCCGGCGGTGTCGCCCTGTTTCTCCTATGCCTCTAGAGCGCCACCGCGATACTTGTCTGTGATTGGTCGGATGCGATATACGAGCACGCCGACGGGCTACTAGAGAGTTACCGGTGTGCAGAACGAGAGTCCGCCATTAGCCCGCTCGCTGTAAGGACGTAGGTGCAATAAAGGCTCAGAGTTATCGATATTACGTGTTGTTTCTCGCCACCACGGTACCCAGCCCTCTCGTACGCCTTCCCTGACTCCCGACCTGTTGCCCAATATCCCCGAGATCGAGGAGTCCTCAGATTGTCCCTCCCGATTCTGGTTATATCCGCCATGTGGTCGTTCCTAGTACGCGGGCTTTACAATAAGAATTAAATTTTTTTTTTTGAAAATTTTATTTTAAAATAAACGTAATATAAAATTATAAAAATTGCACAAAACGAAAATTATTATTATATTGCACGTCATAAATTACTAAAAAAAGAAAATGTTTAATGTCTCATATAACAGGAGTAATTAAAACAAAAATTTTTTAATATTTAAAAAATGCTGCATTAAAATGTTTTTAACATTTGAAATACTCAAGTTATCTGGAATATAATTAACGTGCAATCAATGTGTTTTTAATAAATGACATTAAAAATATAATTTTAAGGCTGAAACGCTTAATAAAAATTATACAACGTCGGCTACAGTTTCATTATTATTTTCATTGGTTATTGGAGGAGCATTGGCCAATATTCGTCGTATATTTCGCTCGTCCCAATCTTTAGCATTATTGAAAATACTTCCTAATACTTTATTGAAATCCTTTTCTGTTATGGGTTTACCATTATTACCTGTGCAATTATCACAAGACAAATCTGTAATACAAAATACAAATTATGAACGTATTTATTTATTATTTTATATATTAGCATGTATATTAATATTGAAAAAAATTATTAACCGAAAAGAATTTTATAAAAAACTGTATCTTTAATAACGTATTTATCTTTGGATTGGCGTACTGCTGTGAGTTGCATGGCTAAATGTCAATCCAAAAATTTTTTTAATATCATCAGAATTGTCTTGTAGACATTTTTATCTGTTAGATGTTTCAGCGATGCCTTCTACAAAATGAAATGTATTTTATTATATTTATCAAAATAATATAAATTACTAAAATTAATAAAATTACAACTACTAACAAAATCGGTACGAAACTCTTCATCTTCAACTAGTTTCTTCTCAAAATTTTTAATTCATCTTTGTTTTGTAACTTAAGAGTTACATTATGTTTTTCAATAAATTTTTGGATAGTCATACTGCTAATTTTAAGTTGTAGAGTTTGCTCTATAGCATTACGCATTAGCATTATTTGTTCACTTTGCAATTTTATATCTATTGTTAAAAATTTTATTGCTGTATGGAGCAGTAAAATGTCTGCAAAAAATTTGTGTGTTTATACGTATAATATCAATCGTAATAAATATTAACTTAAATATTTCCGGAATGTAGAAAATATTAACGAACCTTTTGAAAAATGGTTTTCATTATTTGTTTTCTTACTTTGTGTAGACTGAAAAATAACATGGGAATTTTACGTTTTTAAATAAATATTTTAATTACAATTTGTAGAATAAAGAAGAGTTTGTAGGAGATGAAATGTCCTCGGGAGATAGTCTATATTGATCGTCTATCCGGGTAATTAATATTGAGTTTATTATATAATGAATACATGCGCTACGCAGAAGGGAAACACGGGAGTGACTGACTAAAGAAAAATGTAACCTCGCCACCGGCCTGACGCGCCGACCTCTGCCGGGTCAAAAACAAAACATTATGTAACACTCCTCCGATCGGTTTGTCTAACGAAACAACTTATACGTTACCTACACTATTAAGAGAATTTTTATCAAAATCAATTCTAGAATTATCAGTGTTACTTATATCATTAGAAATTAAATTGTGGAATACACACACATTTTGAAGCGAATGATCAGTTAAATCGGTATTGTTTGATGAATTTGACATAGATATACGTGTTATTAAAAATATTAATATTTTTATCACATTTTTTTTGTACATTTTCTTTTTTATTTTCAGCATGTTTTGACTTTATATGTTTTTGGAAAGAGTTAAATAAAGAATATGTTCGTAAACATGATTTTTCGCCACATTTAAATACAGACAGAGTCGGATGTGATAATGAAATATGACGTAAAAAAAGTTTATAGCAAAAAAAATGTATCATTACATTCCGCACAAATAAACATTTTTAATGTGTGTGTTTACGATATATACTTAATATATATAATTTAAAAAATTAGTACAATAATAAAATCTTAATCGTTACTTGAAAATAATACTTCTACTTCTTCTATTAGACCATTGAGAGATTGATTGCAAACATCACTTTGTAGGTGAATATTAAAGCAACATTTTTGTATAAAAACCCACAAAGATGAAGCTTGTTCCGGATAGGCACAATCTAATGCCATGTAAATACGAAAGCATAAGTCTATTGCTTTAAGCGCTGAATCAACTTTGTATAATACGTTGTTAACAGCAACATACGTAGCGTCTAATGCTATTAATTGACCAACAAATACTGGTATTGGTTGAAAAGTTAATCCTGCGATCCTTAATTCTTCTTTCCTTCTTTCTATTGTAGGTATTATATCTGTTGCTGTCTGAAAATATATTTTAACAATTATATTAATTTTAATCCACAAAAAAGGAAATGTATATATTTTATAATATTTATGAAACAAATAAAAAATTTTAAATACCTGGACATGTAACAAAAAAGAATCTCGTCGCTCTTGAATAGACAGTTTAGTCGAATGTACTTGACTGTTTCTTGAATTTCTTTTTCTTTTTAGTGATCCTTCAATTAAATAAGGTAGAAGATAAAATATTAACGTATCTTTACTATCTGTAAAATAAAATATAAATAAAACAAATTTATTAACTGATCCAATAATAATGTTCAAATATGTAATAATTTTCCATTTATACTGACGTTGTAATAAAGTTGGAAGTAGATGGATAAATGCTTTATCAAAAACGTGTTTAATCGAATTGCACTCTTGTAATCTTTTAATTAGATGAGTTCGAATAATATCCCAACGATCGAAAAATAGATCATTTTTATTAGGATATAATCGATCAAAATCTTTTTTTAACTATAAAGAAAATTTATCATTATTATTGATAAATTAACTTTTTTTAAATTTATAGCAAAACTTACCAATGTCGCACCTAGACCAATTTTCAAACATGGAAAAGATTGATAATAGTTATAAATTTCAATTCTTTTTTTTATTAAGTCTTGACGTGCTTCAAATGTTAATATCCAGTAATCAATAATAGTCTCTTCTGGATCCAAATAGTTTTTCAACCAATCCAATTTTAAATCGACAGATTCTATAATAGAAATTGAAAGAATTATGTACTTATAACATAACTTTTATTTTAATAATATTTAAAAGATAAAAAATATAAAAGTGTTAATTTATTTGGAATTCGATATCAATGGATAATATTAAGTATCTTATTGTTAGACGAATTAAAATGTATGTACCACAAGATTCATAAGGTTGATCAATGATTTTTTTATTCAGGGGTGTTAATATACCAGATTGTCTTAATTTTGACTTCATGTAATGGAAATGTTCAAATAATTTTCCAGAGGGATTAATCCTTTTTTTATTAATACACGTATAAGGTGAATAATAAGTATAAGGAGTTTCTCCTTTAAACAATTCGGTGATTGACTCTGCTATTTCCTGACAGCTGCTAATTCCTCAAATCGCTGACGTTTAATTCTAAATAAAAAAATTAATTTGAAATATTTAATAATGTAAAATTAAATGTTATAATTACTATAATAAATTAATTAATAGCACATAATTTTATAACATATAATTATAACAAAAGTTATTAGTTTATTATAATAGTGTTTGTAAATTTTACACAAAATTATTAAGATGATCTGAATTTTGGCCAATAGTCACATTTTGGAAAGCTTTATCTTTTTCTTGTTGGATAATTAATCGACTTAGTAAGTTTCATGTCCTTTTAGATAAATATCCATTATCATGATAAGCTTTTAATATCAATTTCCCATCAGTACTACTTGACAGTAATTTATAAATGGGCTACAATAATAAATTACATGTTTAAATTGCAATACAAATACAAATTCGAAAACAGGAATAAATAAAATACCAACGTTTTCTGTTTGTTCATTAGAAAATCCTTTTAGACTCTGCAATTAATATAACATTTTTTCTATTATTTTACATGTTAATATAACTTTTCTTAGTAAAAGTAAATTGTTACTTACTAAAATAATTTAATTGAAAACTTTGAAATAAAATTACCTCGCTTTTAATACTTTATGTATTATGTTACATATAATAAATTTCAAATATTAAATAGAAAATAAATGTTATACTCTGTATTACAATTGAATTTTAATATCAGTTTATTATGAATAATAACTTATTATCACAACATATTCAAAACCTTACTTTTTCCGGATTATTATCCATATTTTCTATGAAAAATAA